TACACCATGAGCCATGGATTGACTGGAGGTCAAAGACCTTGGGCGCTACGCGCACGTCACCCGGTGGAGCTTTGGCGAGTCATGCATCCACCTCTGCTAGGAAGCAAAAGCGCTACTGGCGAGAGCACTGACCGATACGGTAAACGTGCTAGACATTGGAATGTCCGAGTTGGTAGACACCAACGGTGTGTCGGACAGGAGTCTCGAGCGTGGCTCGCGGGCTGATCGTGGGAGACATGTAAACCACTGAGCGCTGCTCAAGTTTCGGAGCAGTCGCTGCATGTCGTGCGTGACATGGTCGGCCAAGGGCCGAGGCAACGAGAGGGAGGCCCCGAGATGCACGTGAAGTGGTACCTAAACAACTGATCACTGATCTCGTTGCAAGACAGTCGCTGCATACTATTGATGGCGTGGTCGGACAGAGTCCGAGGCATCTTGGGCACGGCCCTTCTGATGCGCGGTAGTGGCACGTTATCCACTCGACGAAGACTGCGAGGCTTGCAGCTCTTCGTTGGATGTTGTAGATAACATCAGAGCTCCAGAGGAAGGCACAGTAAGGGTGACACCAAACGACGCGGAATGGGTGTTCACCCTGGTCTCACCGAGACATAGATCCTCTGTACAGAGGCGACGGCGACGCCGTATGCTGGCTGCCGACCCTGATCAAGGGTGTGTCTACCGTAGACGATGGCGCGCAGTTATACACCCTCGTCAACGGTATGACGGGGGAGGAAGATGACGACGTCCGCCTCGAGGCTATGCCTGCAGTAGATACTCGTCTTGAGCTGGACGAGATGTCCCTTGAAGAGTTCGGTAGTGCCTTGGAGGTAGGCGATTTGGCTGAAGTGGTCAGTGTACGACCGAACGAGAAGATAAGCTCGTCATCGCGTCTAGATGAATCTGTCTTGGAGGACGTCAAGAGAGTGCTAAACGCACGAACTGGATTGTCGATCCTACGGAATCCCTTGGATCCGTACTATCCTTTGGTGAAGGAATTTCGAGACGTCGTCTCCAAAGACCCGCCTTCGGTCCTACCTCCGGACCGAGGTGTGCGTCATGAGATCGACCTGATTCCTGGAACCAAATACTGCGTACCACGCCAATGGCCCCTGCCCAAGGAGCAGTGCGACGTAGACGCCTTTTTCCGTTCAAAGCACGACGCAGGAATGGTGCGTGAGATCAAGTCTCCCCATTTGTCACCCACGGTTTGTATTCGGAAGCCGAACGGCAAGTGGCGTATTGCTCATGCTTACAATAAGCTCAACTCTGCCTCCATTCCGGCACAGACGCCGATCCTAGAATAGATGTTCTTCAGAACAGCATGGCGGGA